TGCTGTTATTATTGGATTGTTATCATTTTAATGTGCATGTACATTATATTTGTATGTGAAAGTACAGTACAGAAACCATCTGTAAAATAAACCCTGTAAACTTTTATTTTTACAGTGAAAAACGATTTAGGAAGTTGAAGTTGTGAAAAACGATTGAATCATGTAAAGAAAACTGTTTTAACATTTCTGTTTGTCTTCCTGTTGGCTGAAAGTGAAGCAGAACAAAGGATGATAATAATAAGTAAACAAACACAAAGACACATTTTACAGTTTTTATTGGCGGATTGTCAGAACTACAATAACAGCAGTCACACACACAGAGGTCTCACTCTGTCCTCTTTCCAAAACACCAAACCGAAAACAAAAAGAGATCCTTAAATCAGCATCAACAGCGTCTCGTCGTCTGAACGCCGATGGGCACATAAATATCTTTTATCTCCAGTATAAAAATAAATAACATCCATAGAGAGTGAGGGGAAACATCAAAAACACAAAGAAAGAAGATACAGAGACATTCTGCTTTCAGTCCACATATGGAAGCTCAGTCAGGACAAAACAAAGGTCAGAGGTCACAAACTCAAAAAGTTAAATTGTTGTGAAACGATTTTCAGTGAATCTATTAATGAATTCATCAACTAACAGTTTCAACTCGAATAGGTTTAAACTCTAGAGCAAGATATTAAAATCACCTCATGGGACTTTAGGGGCTCCATAGATTTGAAACTCAAAATATAGAAAACGCCTTTAATAATAACATTACACAAAATAAAAATCTTTCATTAAAGCAAGAAACAAATATCTCATTGCAATAACATTAACGTAACGAGATAAAGTGATATTCAAACGGAATCATTTGGTTTGTAATAAGAGGAAAAAGGCCTCCGTACAATCACTTATTGAATAATGTGAATCTGTTTAGTCGTGAATGAACTTCCATATAGGGACTGAACTAGTTTACGGTGTTTTTGGTTGTTTATATCTGTTGCTAATACTTTATTGATCCTGCAGCTGATAACCAATCACAGTGAAAGAACCCCTCTTTGGTCGTTTACCCATGATGCTCTCTGCTGTATGGTGATCAATGACGGACAGAATACCAAACTAAATATTGATCAGTTTTAGTGTCTAACATGAACTTTATTGATACCACAGCGGTGAAGCAGCGGCTGCTCCCATTCTTCTATGAACACGACAGGATGTGACATCAGCAACAGGAAGCAGCTGTGGGGGGGGGCTGGGAGGCGGATCTAGACGCAGCGGCGAATCAGGTTGTTCCTCTCGGGCTCCAGGAACTCGTCCAGCAGAGCGTCTGTGATCTTCCTGAGCTCCTCCTCCAGACGGGACGCCTCGCTGCAACACAGACACACAGTGGTGACGTCAGCAAGGCCCCGCCCACACCGCAGTGATGTCATTAGACGTGACAGCGAGGCGGCGGTCGATTATGAGACGGATAATGAAACGCAGTGTTTAGTACAGACCTGTTCCCTGGGGCAGCGCAGTACTCCGTGTAGAATTTGATTTTGGGTTCGGTGCCGCTGGTTCTCAGCGTGGCCACGACGCCGTTCTGTAGCGTGAAGGTGATCATGTGACTGCTCCTCGTCACAGGAAGTACCTCCACAGGAAACAGAGAGGACGATTACTCACTTAAAACTGCTGTCAGTGCATTTTAATCTATAATGGATGGAAGACGTCTTACAGATCTGAGGTCGGGCTGGCTGCTGTCGTATCCCGTGGTTACGTCTCTGACGTGGACAATCTGCTCGCCGCCGCACGTCTTCGGGTACGAACCTTCGCCGTCGAAGTTTCTGATCCGGCTGAAGATCTTCTGGATGGTGGGGGGGTCGTTACAGACCACGTAGGAGGTTTTAGACATGTGATAACCATACCTGCAGACAGGAAGTCACAACTGTCAGAATAAGAGTCTCTCTTATATTCTTGCAGATAAACACAGCGGTGGATGGAGTTCCTGAACGCAACACACATACAAAAGTATTAGTGTCTGATATTAAAGTTAAAGAATGTTTCGGACGTTGGAGAATTATGAATATACATTCGTTATATATATATATATATATATATATATATATATATATTATATTATATTATATTATATTATATATAT